TATTCCATGAAATATTAACTGAGAACTTTTCAAGTCTATGGAGAGAGACAGACATCTAGATTTAGGAAATTCAAAAGCATCAAGTATATCCAACATAAAAACATCCTCCCCAAGGCACATTATAGTCAACATGTGAAAAGCCAAAGTAAAAAAATCCTATAAATGACAAGAGTCAAGTCACATCAAAAGGAACCCTCATCAGACTAACAGCAGACTTCTTGATAGGAATCTTAGAGGCCAGGAAGGAATGGGATCAAATATTCAACATTTTGAAAGCAAACTTCCAGCCAAGGATACTATATTTGACAAAACTATCCTTTAAAATGGAAAAACAAGTAAAATTTTTTACATAAAACAAAAACAGAGAATTCATTAACACTAGGTCAACTCTTCAAGATATACCTAAAGAAGTCCTCCATCTGGAAGTGAAAGGAATATAAATACCATTATGAAAGTATGCAAAGGTATAAAATCACCATGTGAGTAATCACTCAAATAAAAAAATTCAAACTTTACTACCATGGAAAATTACCAAACTTCAAAGATAGTCAATAGCAGAAGAAAAGAATCTATTCCTTTCTTCAAAAGACAAAAAATGACAGGTTTAAGTGCATACCTATCAATAGTAACTTTGAATGTAAATGGAGTAAACTTCCAAATCAAAAGATATAGAGGAGCTGAATGGATTAAAAAATCAGGAATTAACTATATGTTGGCTACAGGAAATTTACCTCATCTGTAAAAACATATGCAGAGTGAGAATTAAGAGATGGAAAAAGACATTCTGTTCAAATGGAAACCAAAAACAAGCAAGAATTGTTATTCTAATATTAAGCAAAATAGATTTCAAGAAAAAAATTTGTAAAAAGGAGATAAAGTCGGCTATTATATATTATTAAAGGGATGGATTCACTAAGAGAATATAATAATCATTAATATATCTACATCCAAAACTACAGCACTCAAACACATAAAGCAGATACATCTAGGCCCTAAGGACGGAACAGACTCTAACACAATAATTGTTGGGCATTTCTACACTTTATTCTCAGTCTTGGACAGATAGGTAATCTAGACCAAAAATAAATAAATAAATATGGAAGTTAAACAACATCACAGATCAAATAGACATGAGAGACATTTTTATAACATTTTACTACTAGATACAGAATACCCATTCTTCTCAGCAGCACTGAGAATATTTTCTAGAATGGTCACATCAGAGGGCACAAAACAAGCCTCAATATATTTCAAAGAATAGTATTATGTAAGTATCTTTTCCAATCAAAAATGGAATAAAACTAGAAATCCGAAACATAAACAACTGTGGAAAACATACTAATACACAGAACCTGAATAACCACTGGATCAATCAAGACATTAAGATAGACATTTTTTAAAAATTTCAAAGCAATTGAAAATGGAAGCATGACATACCAAAACCCATGAGATTCAGTAGTAAGAGAGAAGCAGTAATAAGAATAAAATTTATAGTAATAAATCTACACACACACACACGCACATACACATGCACATTAAAAAGATGATAAATAATAACTGAATGATGCACCTCAAGGAACTGGTAAAACAAGAACCAGCTAAACTTGAAAATAGAAGGAAAGAAATAATAAAGGTCAGAGCAGAAGGCCAGAAATATAAACCAAAAGATTAACATAAAATATTAATAAAGGAAAAAGTTTTTTTTAAAAAGATAAAATTGATAAACTATTAGCTAGACTAAGAGCAAAAAATACTCAAACAAAGCAGCAATGAAGGAGATCTTATAACTAATACCATAGAAATATATGAAATATTATGAGACTATTATGTGCAACTGTATGCTAACAAGCTGGAAAACCTAGCGAGGAAGGAAAAGATCCTGGGCACATACCATCTCCCTATATTTGAACCGGATGTAATAAATAGAAAGCCTAAACAGACCAAGAACAAGTAATAAAGTTGAATCAGTAATAAAAAGTCTCCCAATACAGAAAAGCTCATGTCCAGATGGTTTCACTGTTGAATTTTATAAACCTTTTAAAGAAGAACTTACACCAATCTTCCTAAAAGTATTTCAAAAAATCCAAACTCATTTTGTAAGACCACTATTGCCTTGATACCAAAAGGAGACAAAGACACATACAAAAGAGAAGGCCTGAGGAAGATAGACACAAACATTCTCAACACAATCTGAGCAGTTTAATTCCAACAGCACATTGAAAAGATTATACACCATAATGAAGAAAGCTTCATTGCAACCAATCATGGTAACTGTTTGCTCTCTGAGAAACCTCGACAGGCTCGCTGGTGTGCAGCTTCCCACACATAATGAAGAAAGATTCATTGCAGAGATGCAGAGATGGTTCAAAATTTGCATATCAGTAAAAGTAATGCATCACACAAGGAAAGATAAGAAACATATGATCATATCCATTGATGCAGAAAAAGCATGGATGAAGTACAAATCTCTTTTTGATCGAGTCTCAACAAAATTGGAATAAAAGGTGCATGTCTCAACATAATAAATCTTGGGGATGTCAGTTAGTATTGACACTGGAAAACAGTATGGAAACTCCTTAAAAATCTAAAAATAGAACTCTCTTTTGAACAAGTTATCCCTCTACATGCTTATTGCAGCATTATTCAGAATTACTAAAATATGGAATCAACCTAAGTGCCCTAAAACTGATAAAGGAATAAAGAAAATGTGAATATATATACATAATTCATTAGATATATATGGTGTTTACATATATAATAAAATAAATTTATATGTGTACATCCATATATACCAAAATAATTTCAGTCATACCAAAAGAATGAGGACCAGTAGGTGGCATGGAGGTTAAGGCAGCTGAATCCCATGTGGCTGAGTGTATAGTTAGAGACCTGGTGGCTTAAAAACAAGTGAGGCATATATGTGTGTTCATGCCCAAAACCCTGAAAGGAGAATGGAAAAGAAGGAATTGGGGGCACGGTCATCCCCCTGATTTCTCACTTTCCCTTCTCTGTCTGTCTGTCTCTCTCTTTCTTGCAAATACATGTACCCTATCACAAAACAAAACAAGAAGAAAAAGAAAAAAAAAAGAATTTCTGTCATTTAAGGTGAAATGGATAAACCTGGAAGAATAAAACTAAGTCAGTCTATGAAAGGTATATACCATCTGTCCCCACTTAACAAATAGTGTGTCTCCTCACTTATTAATGGAATCTAAAGGACTTGATTACATGAGAGAGTATAATGATGGATGCCAGAAATTGGGAAAGTGGCAGGTGATGCGGAGGGATATGGAGAAATGGGTTAACAAATATAAGAATACATGTAAACAAGTAGAAGGGGGTGTAGACTATATAGCATGTGGAATAAACAATGTTAGAAACAATATAATATTGGGACCAGCAGTTGGCGCAATGGCTATGTCGCTGGACTCTCATGTAGTCGACTGCGGTTTGAGTCATGGGCCCAGTGGCTTAAACTCACGCTGGGTGCATGTGTGTGCATGCCCAAGATTCCAAGAGGAGAATGGAGGAGAAGGGATTGCGACGTAGCCATCCCTCCTAGGGGGTGATTTCTTGCATTCTATTTCTCTGTCTCTCTCTGTCTTTCTGGCGAGCACATGTGCCCTATAGCAAAAACCTCTCAGGAAAAAAACAAAAGAAAGAAAGAAAGAATATTTATTTCCAAATAACCTCTAAAGTAAATTTTGAACATGCACAAAACCGAGTAATGTTTAATGCTGCAAATAGTGAATATATTTATTTCCTAGATTTGATCATTATACATTGCAAGCAGACTTGGAAAAACCACATTGTACTGTGACAAAGATGAAATTACATTAAAGAAACAACTAAAAATAAATATGAAGAAATAATGAAAGAGGGAAATGTTTCAGGAAATGCAAAAATCTTTTTCATTTGAAGTGCTAGTGAACACGGGCAAAGAGAAGTAGAAAATGAAATAATTTTTCAGTGTAGTTAGAAGATTATTAATAAACAAAGAGGATTTTATTTCTTTGATGTTTTTAAGCAAAAAACTTCTAGGGAGTGCAGGTAATACTGATTCAATAAAGATTATAGTATCACTAACAACATGTGACAGAAAATAGATATTGAAATATATAATCAGGGGACCAGCAGTTGGCGTAATGGCTATGTCGCTGGACTCCCATGTAGCCGACCATGGTTTGAGTCCTGGACCCAGTGGCTTAAACTCACACCAGGTGCTTGTGCATGTGTGCCCAGGATCTTGAGAGGAGAATGAAGGAGAAGGGATTGCGGCATGGCCATTCCCCCTGGGGGGTGATTTCTTGCTTTTTGTCTCTCTGTCTCTGCCTGGTGAGCGCACACATCCTATAGCAAAAACCTCTCCAAAAAAAAAAAAAAGAAATATATAATCGGTAATTGGATTATTTGTTTTTTCTTTCCTTAAATAGTACTTCAAGGTGAAGATTGCATTTAAATTGGTTGAGAAATAGTCTGGTGTCTGTTTCATTTTTCTCAGGTGTTCTAAGATATTACATATGTGACCAAACAAGAATTGACAGTTTGTTTCCAGGGTGGTTGTACTTACACCATCAAAGGTAGTAAATGAACATCCTTCCACCTTAGGTTTTTTCCAGGATATAACACTTCACCAAAACACCCTTTGATTTTTGGGTTGTGCTGTTAAACTTTTATCCTAAAGAATTATTTATTTAATTTTATTTATTATTATTAACATACTATACAGCCTGTGTGCTTATCAGAGAGAGACAGATAGACAGAGAGAGAGAGAAAGCAAGAAAGCAAACCACGAGGTCTAGGACTCAAACCTGTGTTGGCCATGTGGGAGTCCAGTGTCTTAACCATCACACCACCTGCTGTCCCCATGCTGTTAAAATTTAACCACTATGAGAGTTTCTTCTGAGTCATTGACAGAAACATCAACTCCTTGGGGGTAGTTTCTGTCTATCCTGCATTTTTCCCCTTGAAAACCACGTGAGGTGGTTGTGATTTCAGTGATGAGCTCCCAGAAAGGCAATGTGGCTCATTCCAGGCCTCAGAAGCACCAGAATACATTTAGCTCTAAAACTGACAAGTTTTATAAGAGTGTTTATACCAAGAAAATTAATCCAAAACTTCCTAATGGAGTATGTCAGCGCTGTAAAGAAGTTCTTGAATGGTGTGTAAAATACAGCAAATAGAAACCATGATCAAAACCTAAAAAATGTGTTAAATGCTTACAGAAGACAGTGAAGGAGTCTTACCATATAATGTGTAGGCCATGTGCCTGTGAACTTGAAGTTTATGCAAAATGTGGAAATAAAGAAGAAATTGTTACTCTTATTAGTAAAGAAGCAGAAAAGGCAGAAAACACAGAAAATAATCTAAGTCCCAACTGGAGAAGAAGCTGCAGAAGAAATGAAGAAAGTGATGATGATTTAGAGTTTGATATTGCTTTAGATGACACAGAAGATGACAATCAAGTAGATTAACATAAATATATATTAAAAGTCAGTTTGAGAACGTGAAAAAAATTTTAACCACTATGTTAAAATTCACCCATCGTATTTTCTCTATGGTGGAATTACAAATCACATTAAAAGAATATAACTTAAGCTAAGACAAATAGTTGAGCTTTATTAGGCCCTCTTCATCCTGCATCCAACATCTCCGTCTAATAGAATGTCTCTTTAATGGTAGTACCCTCGTATTTTAAAATACTTGAATTTCATTGACTAAAATTATAATCTCTGCATAAATTTATCATACAAGATATTATTAACTAGATTTCAAGGATGTGTTTAAATAGAATGTGTTTCATTCTTTGTATTAAAACACCTGCTACAAGCTGTATTGTAGACCTGTACTGTCCAATACAGTATAGAGATGTAACTCTTGAGGGACCAGCAGTTGGTATAATGGCCATGTCGCTGGACTCCCATGTGGCTGACTGCAGTTCGAGTCCTGGACCTGGTCGCTTAAACTCACACTAGGTGCGTGTGCGTGCATGCCCAAGATCCTGAGAGGAAAATGGGGTAGAAGGGATTGTGGTGTGGCCATCCCCCCTGGAGGGTGATTTCTCACTTTCTATCTCTCTGTCTCTTTCTTTCTGGTGAACGCAAGTGCCATATACCAAAAACCTCTCAAAAAAAAAAAAAAGGAGATATAACTTGAGATTTTGAAATGTGCTTAGTTAAGATCTGCTGTAGGTGTAAAATGTACACAGATTTTGAAGACTTATTTTGAAAAAAATTGCAAGATTTCTCACTATATTTATATTAATTTTATGGTAAAATACTATTTGGGATATTGTGGGTTATATAAAATATATAATTTTTTAAAATTAGAAATTTTCCCAAGGTCATATCTCTAATAAATGGCACTACTGAGGAAAAACCCAAGGTCATATTGCTAGAAAGTAATAAGCCAGAGAAAAATTTCTTAAACATTATTCTGTATGACCTACTCATCGGATCAAAAGAAAAAAGCTATTTCATGTGAATGGGAATAGTTAATTAATCCAGAAGTCAAATATTTATATAAATTCCATTTTGTAATTCTAACCTCATTTACAATGTGAGCCTCATATATAATTTTTGTTTTCTGATGGACTCTTTAAAAGAGGTAACAAGGAAAAAATAAATGGGTATATTAATTATATGGATATATTTTATTAAACCAATATTTTTATATTATCATTTTAATAAATAATCAATATAAAATTATCAATGAGATAGTTTACATTCATCTTTTTTATTTCTTTTTTAAATTTCATTTTCTTTTATACATTCAATCACGTTATTTAGCTTATAAGTGAATATTTCAACAGCTGAACATTTCTCCCTAGTCCAGTTGATAAAACTATAAAATTATCTTCAACAGATAATACCACATTTCTTACATTCATCTTTTGTATTGTCAAAAATACTTGCACAAGTATAAGGAAATATGTACTTTATACTTACAGCCTCTTTCAAGTCTATCAGTCACATTTGAATTGCACTCTAGTATAGTAAAATGTGGAATATACATGGAATGTCATTGTGCTTTATGTTAGATTATTAAGTTATGAAATGTGTGTCTTGTTTTTCACTTATTATTCAGTGAATATATTAATTTTTCCTAGTAAAATGATACAAAGAATGACACCTCATTTATATGCTTCTACTAGGGGAAAAACCTAGGAAGAACGTACCTTTTTATTCTTTTCTAGGGATATCCAAACTAATGCAGTGTCTTCACTGATTTTTTTTTTCTTTCTTTCTTTATTTTTATTTGACCAGAGAGGGCCAGAGAGAGAGCGAGAGAGAAGAGAAAGCAAGCCGCCAGGTCCAGGACTCAAACTATAGTTGGCCTTCTGGGACTCCAGCATCCTTAATCACCATGCCACTTGCTGGTCCCACTGATTTTTTTGTACAAGTAAGTATGATATTTTACAGAGACCAAAGAAATAGACTGTTGGATGAAGTAAATTAACAAACAAGAGCATGTAGAAGATATTCATAGCTTTAGTTACAGGTATGATCTTAATAGTCCCAAACATGAAACTGAAGTATAAACAGAGTCAAATATGTCTTCATGAGAAGAGAATGTATCATTTTAAGTATCAAGAATATTATTTTAGTCCTAGCCAAACTGATACAGGCAATGTGATGCTAGGGCCATATGGGAAGACTCCTGGTTTGGTGTCCAGGCCTATCTCAACATGTGAGTGCACTCTTGGGACTGGTGGGCCGAGGGATTTAGGCATAGCCACTCCCCCCACCCGAGGGCTGATTTCTTACTTTTCCTCCCTCTGTCTCTGTAACTTTTAGTTTGGCAAGCATACACACCCTGTAGAAAAAAAAAATCCTATTATAACTATATATGTTTTTGTAAGCCTCATGGCAACCACAAAGCAAAAACCATAGAAGATAAATAAAAGAAAAACAAAGAATCAAAGAAAACCACTACATAAAGTTGCTTAGATACAAAGTTTGACAGCAAAAAAGAGAGGAACAAAAAGCTCTACAAAACAATCAGAAAATAAGCAATAGTAAATCTTTACCCTTGAATAATTACGTGAAAGTGGACTAAATTCTTAGTCAAGACATGTAATGTTTCTAATGAGAAAATTAAAACAAAACAAAACAGAAAAATAAGACCTTAAAAGAAAATAAAGGACCTTAAGTAAATCCCATCAGTAAGAGACTCAAAACCCATGAGAATACACATATATTGAAAATATAAGCAATAGTAAATCTTTACCCTTGAATATTTATGTGAAAGTGGACTAAATTCTTAGTCAAGACATGTAATGTTTCTAATGAGAAAATTAAAACAAAACAAAACAGAAAAATAAGACCTTAAAAGAAAATAAAGGACCTTAAGTAAATCCCATCAGTAAGAGACTCAAAACCCATGAGAATACACATATATTGAAAATGAAGGGCCGAAAAAAAAATCTCATGCTAATGAAAACAAAAAGATAACAGGAATATCTATTTTTATATAATATAGACTTTAAGTCAAAAACTATAAAATGAAACAAAGAAAGTTATTATATCATGATAAAGGGTCAATTCATTTATATAACAATTACAAATATATTTTTACCCAGTATTGGAGCACCTAAATATACAAAAAAATCATGGATCTGTAGAGAGACTACAATGCTATTATAGTAAGGGACTTTAATAACCCACTTTGAGCATTGGATAGATCATCAAAACAGAAAATCAATAAGGAACCATTAGACTTAAACTACACTTGAGACCAATGTGCCTAACAGACATGTACAAAACACTCTATCCTACAACACCAGAATATACATTCTTCTCAAGGGCATGGAATATTCCCCAGGATAGATCATATATTAGACCACAAAACCAGTCGTAACAAATTTAAGAAGGTAGAAATCATACTAAGTTACTTTTATGACCACAATAGCATGGAATTAGAAATCGATGACAGAAGAAATTTTCTTAAATTCACAAAACATGAAATTAAACAACACACTCCTGAGCAACTCATTGGTTGTTGAAATTTAAAAAATATAAATACACGAATAGAAACATAATGTATCAAAACATAAAAAGTAGTAAACGCAGTGTCTAAATGGGAGATTCATAGCAACTAATGCAAAACTCAAAAAAAAATTCTAAATAAACCATCTAGTGGCACACATGAGAAAACTAGGAAAACAGTAACAAGCTAAGCTCAAAGCTAGCAAGAAGAAGGAAATAATAATCAAAGCATATCTAAATGAAATAGAGTTTAGAAAACCTGTATAAATGATCAACAAACCTAAGAGTTGTTTCTTTTTTTAATCTTTTTTTTCTTTATTTATTTACATTCATTCACTGTACATCATTATAGCATACAAAATGAGATTTTTTCCATTCAGAATATACTGTATATTGGCTCAATCAAGCACATCAACATATGTGTTATTGTCAACAAATAATTTTCCATTTCTTGTTTTCTGTATATTTTGCCTTGTTTCCCATCCTTGATTCCCTATCTCACCCTCTGCCATCTCCCACCCTCCTCCCACACTGTGTCTGGTATCTATTGTTGCTTTCTATGCCTCCCCCATTTTATTGTTTCACTAAATATCTTAATAAATCTAAATATTTTCAATAGCAAGCACAGCTGATATGTACATATCCATGAACACAAGACTGACTTTAGGCATAAACCTCAGTGAATAGAATGAACATACTGTAAAGTAGCACCTAACTAGGGCTATATAGCTTAACTGCAGTCATCAAATAGGTATTTCTAATGCCTTTTTTTTTCTTCTGAAATTTTTTTTTTATTCATTTACATTCATTCCCTGAGCATCATCACAACATACAAAAT